GCTTTTAAATTATGTATAAAGTAATGGTTAATGAACAATAAAGATAATCTAAAACAGTGTAAGGGAGGTAATCCAAATACAATGTTTTGGTTACTTCCCTTACACTGCTTTTAAATTATGTTTAAAGAAATGCATATTTATAAAGGAAGACCAGTAAAAATATCTGCAAATGTTTTCATCTTTTTTTTTTACAAAAAAATCCATATGAAAGATTTGACACTATATTTTTATTAATTCTATTATAAAATAGATTAAGTTAGCACTATGGTAAATTTAAATGGGTAATTATGGTTGCCAACTCCATTGGAAATTTGAATTGAGATTATGACCATATCTTGAGGGAAAGAATTTTTTTGGGGGAAAAAGGGGGGGGGGGGATAAAAAGAAATTGTGGGGGGCCAATTTTTTCTCATCTCAGATTTCAGAAATTAAAAAGAATTATTCTTCAAATATTATTTTTTTTTCAAATTTCAAATATTGAAAAATTTCAAGAAGTAATCTTTAATTGCACAGTATGGCGCATTAGATTTGTAAAATCTTTGATCACATTTATTTATTTGTTATGCCGAATCTAACAGTGTATTTAGATTTTTAATTTTGGGTCCAGTTTTCAAGTTGGTCCAAATTGGGGTCCAAAATTAAACTTTGTTTGATTTCAACAAAAATTGAATATATGGGGTTCTTTGATATGCTGAATCTAACCATGTATTTAGATTTTTTATTTGTGGACCCCGTTATCTAATTGGTTCATATTGAGGTCAAAAGGGTCCAAAATTAAACTTTGTTTGATTTCATCTAAAATTGAATTATTGGGGTTCTTTGATAATCCAAATCTAACCGTGTATTTAGGTTTTTAATTTTGGGTCCTGTTTTTTAAATTGGTCTACATTGAGGTCCAAAGGGTCCAAAATTAAACTTAGTTTGATTTTGACAAAAATTGAATTCTTGGGGTTCTTTGATTTGCTGAATCTAAACATGTGTTTAGATTTTTGATTATGGGCCCAGTTTTCAAGTTGGTCCAAGATAGGGTCCAGTATTTAAACTTAGTTTGATTTCAACAAAAATTGAATATATGGGGTTCTTTGATATGCTGAATCTAAACATGTATTTAGATTTTTGATTATGGGCCCAGTTTTCAAGTTGGTCCAAATTGGGGTCCAAAATTAAACTTTGTTTGATTTCAACAAAAATTGAATATATGAGGTTCTTTGATATGCTGAATCTAACCATGTATTTAGATTTTTTATTTGTAGGCCCCGCTATCAAATTGGTTCATATTGAGGTCAAAAGGGTCCAAAATTAAACTTTGTTTGATTTCATAGAAAATTGAATTATTGGGGTTCTTTGATATGCCAAATCTAACCGTATTTTTAATTTGGGTCCCGTTTTTTAAATTGGTCTTCATTGAGGTCCAAAGGGTCCAAAATTAAACTTAGTTTGATTTTAACAAAAATTGAATTCTTGGGGTTCTTTGATATGCTGAATCTAAACATGTGTTTAGATTTTTGATTATGGGCCCAGTTTTCAAGTTGGTCCAAGTTGGGGTCCAAAATTAAACTTTTTTTGATTTCAACAAAAATTGAATATATGGGGTTCTTTGATATGCTGAATCTAACCATGAATTTAGATTTTTTATTTGTGGGCCCCGCTATCAAATTGCTTCATATTGAGGTCAAAAGGGTCCAAAATTAAACTTTGTTTGATTTCATCAAAAATTGAATTATTGGGGTTCTTTGATATTCCAAATCTAACCGTGTATTTAGATTTTTAATTTTAAGTCCCGTTTTTTAAATTGGTCTACATTAAGGTCCAAAGGGTCCAAAATTAAACTTAGTTTGATTTTAGCAAAAATTGAATTCTTGGGGTTCTTTGATATGCTGAATCTAAACATGTGTTTAGATTTTTGATTATGGGCCCAGTTTTCAAGTTTGTCCAAGTTGGGGTCCAAAATTAAACTTTGTTTGATTTTAACAAAAATTGAATATATGGGGTTCTTTGATATGCTGAATCTAACCATGTATTTTGATTTTGGACATTGGACCATAATAGGTAAATTAAAAAAATTCAAGTTCTTAGACCACATTCTTTCTGTGTCAGAAACCTATGCTGTGTCAAATATTTAATAACAATCCAAATTCAGAGCTGTATCAAGCTTGAATGTTGTGTCCATACTTGCCCCAACTGTTCAGGGTTCGACCTCTGCGGTCGTATCAAGCTGCGCCCCAGCGAAGCATTTTATTTTTAAAATTGGAGTTATCTTCCTTTGTCCATGATTATAGTTGAATCAACTACAATGAATGCTTTATACAATGCAATGTTTAATTTTGACTTCCACTGATAAAACACAGATCAAGTTGAATTTGGGTAGTGTCACTTTAACCATTATTGAGTTATGCTCCTTTATAAGTAGAAAAATTGCTGAATTTTTAGTTTCTGTTCTCTACTTAAGTTAGCCTCAACCAAATGTTATGAGACTTACACACAAAACTCAGATCAAGTTCAAATTTGGGTAGCGTCACTTTTACTGTTCTTCAGTTATGTCCCTTTATAACTATATGATATGCATGCAGGGGCATCATCTGTGTCCACATGTGGACACTATCCACATTTTTTTATCTTATACTATATGCAATAGGTCAACTATTTTTGGTGTATGGAAATATTTTATGATCTATATGCAGTCGCGCAGGTTTCATTTGACCTTGACCTCATTTTCACGGTTCATTGATCAGTGTTAAGTTCTTGTGTTTTGGTCTGTTTTTCTCAAACTATAAGCAATAGTTCAACTATATTTGTTGTATGGAAAAATTGTTAGCTGTACATGCCTGCCTAGCATGGTTCATCTGACCTTGACCTCATTTTCATGGTTCATTGGTCAATGTTTAGTTTACTTGGTTAATGTTAAGTTTATGTGACAGTTGTAATAAAGCTTTACATTTAGGACTATCAACATAATATCAATGATTAGTAAAGAAGGCGAGACATTTCAGCGTGTGCACTCTTGTTTCAAGCAGTCGCTGAACCATAAAAATGAGGTCAAGGACAGTTGACATATGAAGGACAGAAACTTTGAAACATTAGGTATCTGCATACAAGGAATGAAGCATCCAGGTCTTCTTCCTTCTAAAATATAAAGCTTTATACAAATAGTTGTTGGATAGTAATCCCTGTTACACATACTGAGACTTTTGTTGCAGACAAGGTAAAAAACTCAAAATAACAAAATGTATCGAAGAATTATTCTGCAAACATTTAGTAGGTGTTGGATATATCTGTACAAAAATCAGGCTGTTAGTTTTCTTGTTTGAATTATTATACATTTGTCATTTCAGGGCCTTTTTGCTATGTGGTATGGCTTTTGATGAAGGCAGTATGGTGATCTATAGTTGCTAACCTTTTATGTCATTTGGTTTCTGGTGGGAAGTTGTCTTGTTGGCAATCATACCATATCTTCTAATATTTATATCACACTAGTAAAATTTGGCAGGAAGATGTCACCTTATAAATGAATCCACTTAGTATTTTAACACTGGCCATAGATGTACTAATGAATGGTTACAAGTGCAGATCAGACTGACCTACTTTTTTGGGCTCTTACATTCCTCTTGATGCATCATTCACAAACTAATGTGGTTGTATACTTATATTGAGTAAGATAATTGAAAAAAACTATTCTTGGTGGAGAGCTGTTACCCCCCCCCCCCTGCTAAGCCTTTCAACAATTTCCCCTGAATTTATTTCACACCAGGGTCATTTTCACTAGTCTTTTAATCTTTACTTTGATTCATAGTCTCACAGCAAAAAGTTCTAACAAAATTTAAGCTCATTTCTAAACTGGACATCACAGTGCATGTTAATATCAAATTATGAACACCTAAAGAATGTCCCAAACAGCAATTTTTAGATATTTGGGTAAATTTTTAGTATTTACCCTAAATTTGAAAAAAAAAGACATTGTAAACCAAAACCAAAATTATGTTGGAAGTAAAGTATGTATTATCTTTAAGTTGTATTTATTTAATATCAACTAATTTACTTCTCCTGTTTTAGTGGGTAACAAGATTGTATGCGGAAAACATTGACTGCATAACTATACCAGCCTTTATCAGTTTTACAACTATAAACCAAAATAATGTGATATAAATCATTTGCAATATATGAACCATTTAACACAAAATTGTCATCAGCTTCTTCTCATAATTTTTTAACAAGTTTTATTTTTCAGTACTGACCAGATAAAATTAATATTTGTACATCAGTAGTCTATTATTGACATAATTTTGTAATCAATACCTCTTGCTCTTACAATGTGTCATTATCAGTATTGGTACACAGAGAACAATAGCTATTGTATTTATTCAATGAGATAGTATACTTTGCAAAAGTTTAAAACTCCAACTGTTTTGGGGGAAAAGTGTGAGTGCCTTCGCAATAAAAAAAAACATTTTTGTAAGCATTGTCTTTCAATGCAAAATTTGACATGTGAAATTTCAAATTTTGTATAAAAACCTCAAACAGTAGTAACATGTAGTGCTGAATAAGTTTTTCTTATTTTTAAAGAATTATGTAAAATTGTAAACACTATTTTACGTATATTAAATTTTCAGCAGGATTTTACAACTTTTAGATTTTGACCCTGTGAGTAATACAAATACAGGGGTAATTGTCCCTATTCTTTTTATCCATGTAAGTAATTTAATATCTTACAAATGAATTTGAATGATAAGTTTGGAAACTTTATCAATGTTTATATAAGTCTTAGAGCTGTGATATATGGGTCTTTTGCAGATGGGTGGAATTCATAGAAGTCATTGGTAGCTAAATAAAAGCGATGTATGTGTCAATATGCTTTTGAAAATATGCTGTTGAGGCACAAGTGGACATTTATGCAGCAGGTATTCCAATTGTCTTGAGAGAATAAGTTTAGATTAATTATCAATCACCCCCTTTTCCCTGCTCATTAGATTTTCACCACATGAATAATTAACTATATATACAAGTCTATGTGTCTATGGATTTAATAAATAAAAAATAACAATAAGACCAGATAAGTAAATTCAAAGATTCTCATCCTGTATTCATTTATACCTCAACCTGCATAATTTTATCTTAATTTTGAAATGTTACATTATTGTTCATTTGAATCAGGGGAAAAAAAAACCCATTTATATGGTCACTAATGATCAGCAGTTTTACTGACACCTTTTCTACACTGCAGTATGTTGGAATATTTGTGAAGTTAAAATAAAAAGACCTTAAATCAGAGTTTTTTTATACATATTTTTAAATTAAGATAGTGGAAACTGAAGAATAGGTGCCCGCTAACATTTTTACATTTTATTCTTAACAAAGATCAGAATCAACGACAAGGAAAAATGAAAATAAGACTCTTGTGAACAATTTTGGCCCCTAGAATTAAAAAAAAAAGTTAAATGGGTCTTGTGAAAATATGCCACTTTACAGTATCCGATTTCTGAAAACTGTAGAGCATATTTAATGACATTGGTTAACATTTAATTGAATGTGTTACTTCATTGAATTTATCTTCACTATACATTCTCAAATAAAGATTAAAAGCTACATTTTAAGTTTTTTCAAAGTGAAAAGGAGCACAAAATTATTTTTGCTTACAATAAAAAAAATCCTTGTCAGCCTTTTTTTCTATCTTTGAATGAGAATCTTGGAATCAACTATGTATGGCTTAACACATGCATCATAAAAACATTCATCACTTTCATTCACAACACATTGATTAAAATGTAGCAGAGTTCAGTATAAAAAGTCGTGTTTCCTCCTTCTTTATCCAGCGAAGTAGTTTATTTATTGCTCCAATTGCAGTATGCTTTGTTATCAATGGCCCAAACACTGCATATAATTCAAACTGTTGCGTCACCTGAAAAATAAAGGGTTATCAATGGTCAAATTATGACATAGGGTAGCTGTCTGTTTCTTGGTTTTCATTAAGAAATAATGGCCACTTAACCTCTGTATTGTGTCTTGTATGATATATGAGATATTATAATTATGTATCAGACTGGGGAAGCACTCTAAATATTTATCATAGTTCTTTCAATTTTTTAAAAGAGGTTTGGCTTTACAGCTTTAGAAGAGCATTAAAAAGGCATCTGAAAATGTAAAGAACTGCTTCCTGTGGCCATGTTTTATATCTAACTGGTACAGGATGAAAATTTTCATCGATGAGCTTCTTTAATTTATCCTTGTCAAGCTCAGACAGGCTAAAAAGTTTCAAAGACCATTAAAATTGTTCCAATAGTAATATTAGAAACCTATGCTAAATAATCGCTGGTATGTGCTTTCATTTGCATCAAATGTAGAGTCCCCAAATCCTTGTTCCAATAAAGTTTGAATGAAAGTTTCCGCTTCTGAGAAAAAGGAACTTGAAAATTGACCAATGAATCAATCATAATTTGAGAAGTAAAATGGAATCAGGAATTTGTTAATACTTTTTAATATTTTTATATAACTGTAAAAAATAATTCAAAAGTACAGCCATTACAAATTACTATTCATCTTGTTTTACCCCAATTGCCTTATATAACTCTATCTAGAATAACAGTTGCCGTTTTGGTCTTCTTTTTTTTTAGCATTTCTGGAATCATTTTAAAACTAGGCAACATCAAGTTGATCTACATGTATATGGTTCAAATTGTTCAAAGTGGATTAAGACATTTTCTTAATAAAATATATAGCAATAGTTCAAACTCAATGACATGCCCTATCATCTTTGTGTTATTAAAGATCCATTTTGTTTGATAATTACTTTGGGGAATTTTAATATATGCTCATTGTAGAAAGCTTTGCAATTCCAGCATTCTTTTCCTGTCATTAGTATTTTGCAGCTACGTGTATCTTGTGACATTTTCACCACTTTTTCATGTTTAAAAATAAATAAAACAAGAATGTGTCCATAGTACACGGATGCCCCACTTGCACTATCAATTTCTATGTTCAGTGGCCCTTAAAATTGGGATCAAAACTCTAATTTGGCATTAAAATTAGAAAGATCATATCATAGGGAACATGTGTACTCAGTTTCAAGTTGATTGGACTTCAACTTCATCAAAAACTACCTTGACCAAAAACTTTAACCTGAAGCGGGACAGACGGACGGACGGACAAACGAATGAACCATTGAGAGGACGCACAGACCGAAAAACATAATGCCCCTCTACTATGGTAGGTGGGGCATAAAAATGCACATGTTGTCATGCTGGGTCTTTCCCCACTTGTAAAACTACAGGTGTTAAGTCTTCCCTATGACTACTTACCCAGCCTAACAATGTCTCATGTTTGCCAACATGATAAAGAATTTTCAGCGGTCTAACAGATGTATGTATCCTATTGTGTAAGTATAGGTATAAACCAAACAATCTTTCTTGTTCCTCATCAGATAGGTAGGGAGCCTCTAGTTCAGGACTTGTATACTGTGCCATGCTGCGAGACTTGTATAAGAAATGTCTTAAATCTGATATTCCACATTGCTGACAACTATAACTTGTCTTCATAAGGGAATCGCTGATAGCTTGTAAACCATTGTATTTAATTAGTCTCTGAAATATAATATTCATTAACTGCAATAAGTTTTCATAAGCACTTTCTTAAACTTTCCTCAATATATATCAACCATGAGTTTTCCTTGATTGCCGTCCAATTCATTTTTCAACTGTATACTGTTACAAGATTATTTTAGCACAATTTTGATTAAAACCAGCAACTCTTTTTACAAAAAATCTGACGATTTAAATTAATCGTAAGTTAAAACTGAAATATTCATAACTCGTAAGATATTTTGTGAAAAGAGCCCCTGAACCAGACTAACAACCAGTTATTTTTTTTATTTATTTCTGTAACATAAAGAATGCTACAAATTCTGATGACTTTTAATTAGAGGTTGAAATTTAAAAATACACCAACTAATGAGTTATTACATTTGAATCAACTAAAACAGTATAAAGGTTTTTATGGGTTTTTTTCTGCATAACCAAAATGCAACTATGTATTGTCTTTTAGATAATAATTATAGGTTTCAAAATGAGTGAGAATTAGTTACGCCTTGATTTTCGTTTTATTTAACTTATAATAATAAATGAGCCTTAGACCTCAATGAATATAATTTTTTCCAGGTAAATGAATCCACATATTTACCTCATCAAAAAACAGTACATGTGTAATTGTATATAATTTACCATGTGAGATGAACTTTAATATTTATTTACCAGTTAAATTGATTTCCATATATCTTACCTCCTGTATTTTCTTTTTACATTCTGATAATATGAAGAAAGACTCTCTATCAACAGATAACAACAGCATACAAGTTTGGCAACTTTCATCTAAATATGATATGTGTGCTTGAAGAAAACCACTGAAATAAACCAAACAACATTTTACTGACACAAGAAAATAACTACATGTGCATGTATAGCTTATGAAAATACTGATAATGTTTTATTGAAATTTGTAGTTCAAATATTTTAGAAATTATGTTAAAAATAAGGAATGTACCTCAATCATCATTCTCATGCTTAGCTCAAATTCCTTTCCTGGTTTTGGCTATACTTTTGGTCTTTTTTTGGTTTATAAGATCTTCAATTTTTAAAATAAAAGGAAGAATGTGTCTGAGGACAAGAATGCCCCCCCCCCCCCCCCCCCCACTCGAGGATGGGTGAGAGTGTTGGAAAGGCAAAATTCTCTTAATACTAGTACTTCTTCTAAAAACATTAAATTTATATGCTATTGCAACCAATTAAGTCCAGAAACATTACAAAGTAAAACCAAAGGAATCCCCATTTTAGATGGCTTTACTAGGAAACTCATTACAAGAGATTTCTGTTTTACTCACCTTGCATCAAATTTTGGCAGACATATAGGTGTCCAAGACTCAGCAGCTTTGAAAGACTCGGATGCATTCACGAGGTTAATGATTAAATGGAGATCCATTGGATGTAAGAAATATTTTTTCATTCGTACCAGTGTCACTAACTGATTGTTTGCTAAAATAATTGCAAATACTAAGTCCTAAAATCAGACAAAAAGAAATAATTAGATGAAAGTACAATGAAATATATACAATGTAAACATTTTGCAGTCAAGGGTGTAACTTAAATAAGTTGTTAGAGAAAAATAACATACATTTGTTATTGTGGACTAAAAAATCAAAAAACTGTGATAACATATGTATGTTACATGTTTCAAAGGGGCAATATACATCCTTTACTTTGTTAAATTGTATACAAGTTCTATTGATATTATCATTGTCTTTGTGTATACTACACTTGAGAAAGATATAACAGTTCAAAGTTTGTCAATTATGCATAGTACACCTATGTTATTACAGAAAATATATGCCTGTAATAAGTAAAGGGTGTTATTACAGCTTCTCTACATCTCTTAAATGCCTTTGCTCAGGCATATATTATATCACAATGTATTTTAATTATTTGTAAGAAATAATGATCAGAGCATGTAATGAAGTTCTGCGCAAGATTCCAAGTAATTCCCAAGTGTCTCATATAAGTTATATGCCTGTAATAACTAAGCTTTGTTATTACAGCTTAGTTTATCCCTTAAAAGCCTTGTCTCATTGATTTACCATGGTTGATCAAAAATGTATTAACTGAATTGGAAAATTAGTTATCAAGGTTATGTATTAAGTTTCAAGAATTCCCAAGTGCCCACTAAAAATAAAAATATTTATGATATATTTGACTAATAACAAACATATGTTACTACAGATTAAGAAAAAAAGAGTAGACAACTCATGAAAGTATCTGTAATAACACATGTATGTTATTTTTCTCTAATAACGTATTGAAGTTACACCCTTGACTGTTTTGTAGTGTATTAATTTGAGAAAATATTGGTCTAGCATTTCTTAAGACATACATCAACAATTGTGAATAGTTTTCTTTTAAAGCACTGCACATGTCTGATAATCAAGTAATCTCTTTTTAAATCTCTTTGTCATTGTTTTAATTATTTTCTGTTTTACTCATTAATAAGAAAATTACTGCAATATATATGTAGGACTCAAAGCGATAGGGACGCTGAAGTGCGATGGTCACGCTAAAGTGCAATGGTCTGTTTCGCTGATGTGCGAAGGTCTATATTATCCGTAAATGAAAGATCTTCCTTTTTGATTTTCTGCATGTGAACATAGTTCTGCGTTTACATTTCATCTTTACTTCGTTCCTCTCATGAGTTCCTCGTGTACCGGGATATTATAATATGGTGAGTCTGTCTGCGGACCCATATTTATTAAGAGAATGCCATGCTCCATCGTACGTAAAAAAGAACCTTTTGTTGATTTCGAAAAAAAATCTGCTACAGAAGGTTAACTGTCTCCTCTCTACTAGTTAATTTTCTAACTTTCTCATAGTATAAACAGTTTATAAGCCCCTAGTTAACTTAAATACCGTAAAACTGATTCTCACAAACAAGTTGACCTCTACAACAACATGAAAAGCATTTAAAATACAGATTATGAAGTCTATCGCACTTCAACTTTACCACAATCGCATTTCAACGTTACCACAATCACACTTCAACGTTATCACAATCGCATTTTGGCGTCGCTATCAATAAGATAGCGTCACAATGCCACTATAGCACTTCAGCGTGATCAAGAACACACTTCAGTGTCAAATCATCGCACATCAGCGTGACCTTCATGGTTCGAGGTTCAGAGTCCTACATTTATGCAATTTATATTATATAGTTGTACAATGAAATTATGAAACTGATCTTTTGAATGCGTGAATTATTATTGTACTCTTGTCAGAAAATTAAAAAAACTTTTGCGCATTAAAAAGGATGGTAAAGGTAATGCACTTTTTATTTCAGTTATTGTGCACACAACTTGTTCACCATGTTTCGTGCAAATCTGTGGAAAAGAAATGTTCAAGTGTTTTTTTTTATTTTTCATTCAGCAGGTCAATTTATTCCCCCCCCCTTTTTCCCTTTACAACCCCAATAAACCATGGTGCCTTTGTACAAAAGTATCTACTTTATGATGTCTTCTCACTTACTTTCATCATTTGTGTTCTTAATATGCTTTATTGTAAACAGGTAAATAACCCTAACTTTGACCTTAATGGACTAATGCCCAAGAGAAAATGTAAATTCATTGAATTTGAAATAGAATTTCATTATTCCATAAATAATTTAATATAAAATCATGAGATCGATTACAATAAACTTGACTAATTACATGAATATGTGGAAGAATAAGTTTTACAGATGGTTATGAAAAATAACACATAAATACTCACTTGATTTATGTGGCAATATGTTTAAATCTTAAAAATAGTCAAATGTGGAAAATCAATCCCTGTTTGTATACATGTACACTATCAAACTTTTAAAATCTAATGAATACATACACGACACACATAGATTCTTACCTTCACTCTTGCATGTTGAATTATACTTTGAGCAATGCTTTCTCTAACGGGACTATCTAATGGCAGACATCGTACTGCCTGAAGTTTAAAACTAGGGTCATGGTCCATTAAATTCAATAAATTGTCAATAAATTTTTCGGATCCACTTAACATTCTCCGCAAATCATAATTTCTTCTCTGTTTGAAGATTTTTTGTAATGAAGTAAAAGTAAGTACACTAAGAATTTGATTATATATATATGATAGTTGTAGTACAAGCTGTTGCACTGATTCCAATCCTTTTGATACGGCAACAAGATAAATATGTTCTCGAACTAAGAACACAAACTTATGATCTCCAGCAACAATGCTACGCATTGAGTCTTTAGCTGCAGACACAAATGATATCAAAGCTTGTAGAACGCCCATAATTGTCACCAGTTTATCTTCCTGACCATGCCTGTATAAAGAAAACTTTCAAAATGAATTCAAAGGTGAAGATAAAAATGATATTGCACAAATTAAATACATAAGATGAATACACAGAATGAAATTATATGAAAAGGTGCTAGATCATTGTTAAAATTCTCACCTACTAAATTTTCAGAATTTTCCAAATACTTCACAAACATTTCACTTGCAGACAATAAAGAATTGTTAAGTCATTGTTTTGAACTTTTTTAAATGGGAAGTACTGAATAGCCACATAGAATAGAACAGTCTGCACTGTTAGCCACTAGTCCAATGCCTCAGACTAGTAAAATTTTAATCCAACTAGTAAGTATTTGCTATACTTTTTTAAGACACATATGAAAAATGTTGGAATTTTGGTCTACAGACTAGTATTTGGAAAAGATTTTGGTGCAGACTGAACAGAATAGAATAGAATGAATAGATCTCGATTGACAGCAAGTAAAATGTCTGAACACATTAAACACTACAGAAAATACCTCAAAAGATGCTATCAGGTTAAAGCGTAGGTTAAAATCTTGATGAGATTCAACATATTTACATTCAGTCCTACAAGATCAGGTTTCAGGTAATCAAAATATATAACTGCTTCAGTCTAAAACTGATTTACCACATGTCCCAATTACATCACAATCTTTTTGTTGTACTTGATATAATATTCACACTGTTGACATTCCAGAACCAGACAAAAACTCTTTCACTAAATGTTGATTTTTGTATGTCATTTACATGTTTTATGTTTATTTTTACCCTTTATACTAATTAATGTTTATCTCGACAACATTGCTCTGCTTATTGTACAGAAGTGGATTTTATGTCCAACAAAGTCACAAATGTTGTTAAATAATGCCATCTAAAATGTCACTAAAATTGATAGAATCATAATGATTTGTATAAAATGTTCATTGCCATATGCATCAAGGGTTCTCACTAACGATTTTTGAAGGTCATGGCGAGTCCAGCAGTGTGAAAATGAAATTTTATTGCTATAAACATGATATAATTTATAATTTTTGTTTCCAGGACAAAAAAGAGCAAGGAAATGACATTAAATTTGGATTATTTTTAAACTTTTGTCATAAAATGATGATATATGTGCTCAGTTGATAAAACATTTCATGATCTTGATGCCTCTTTGGACTCACGAGTTTCGGAAATGATGAGTCCTGAGAGATTTTTATGACTCAAAAGACTCATGGACTTGCCTTAGTGAGAACCCTGTGCATTATAACTTATTTTCGTACAGTTAACCCCATTATATAATGGTTCTCGAAACACAATTTTCATAAATGACTACTGAAAATATTTTCATATACACTGTATATCAAATAAGTGCCTTTTGAACATTATCAGGGCATACCACACTTCAGAATTTTAGGGAAAAGTTAGTAGCCAAACTGGGAGAAGTGAAGACCTACAATGTAACTATGAGACAGCTGTTTATACAACAAACTTGGCAGCATTACACTTCCTTGCTATTTCCATCAACCTTCTTCATTACAAATGTTAAGGTTTTTTTCCTTGTCTTGTATTCTGACTGAATTGACAAAGGAGTTAAAAAAATATTATATTGAACAAATTTTGCTTAGCAAAAGACTTAAATCAATTAATAAAACCAAATTCATGGAACCCCACCACATCTGGATATAAGAAGTGCATGCAAGTACAAGGGTATAAATGTATATAATTTCTTGATTAAATTTCTTTCATTGCCATGATCATATCATGAAGACATGTTTACACATTAAATAAATTGTGAATTCATGTACACTCCTATTCCAGGTTTTTTGTTATGATATAAAAATTTCATGTGTCTCTCTCTAAATTACCAGAATGTCAATAGTAACAGGGCCCCATGTGGTCATGTCTACATTCTGAGTACATGTTTGCAAGATTTCTTCTTTTATAAACAGAAATATTCAATTTAAAGAAAGTTCAAACAGTCAAGCATTCATATTTTTACAACAGATATTTGACATGTTTCATAGATTGCAATAAAATAAGCCTGAATTTTCAACTTGGAGGAACTAGGTCACACTCAATGTTAAGGTAGAACGATCACACATGAGCACACAAGCATTCTTTGACATGAGACAAGGAGAGTATTTACACTGTAATAAATCAATTAGGGAGATTTTAATCAAAATACAATGAGGTAATATAATCACTTGGTTGAATATTGGAATTGTGTTCATTCCTATCAACACATTTTCAATAAAATGCTTCGCTGGGGCGCAGCTTGATACGATCGCAGAGGTCGTACCCTGAACAGTTGGGGCAAGTATGGACACAACATTCAAGCTTGATACAGCACTGAATTTGGATTGTAATTAAATGTTTGACACAGCATAGGTTTCTGACACAGAATGAAAGTGGTCTAAGAACTTAAAAATTTTTAATTTACCTATTCAAACCATATCATTATTATTTGCTTTTATATATAAATCAGAAATAACCAATTTAAAATGGAAAATTATAAAGAAAAAAAAGGAAAAAAAAAATCCCTCCTCAAATTTTTTGAACCCCCTTATGATTCACCACCCCCAAACTCAATCCCAGCCTTCCCTTTGTGGTATGGTACCTTGCAGTACAATTTCAGAGAGATCCATACACTTGAACATAAGTTATTGTCTGGAAACTAGAAAAATGCTTGTTTTTTTGCCCCAAATTCCTAAACGTTTAGGGCAATTACCCCAAAACTCGAACCCAGCTTTCCCTTTGTGATATGGAACCTTGCAGTACAATTTCATAAAGATCCATAAACTTACACACAAGTTATTGTCCTGAAACTAGAAAAATGCTTGTTTTTTTGCCCGTTTATGGCCCCTAATTCCTAAAATTTTGAGGGAATTACCCCCAAAATCAACCCCAGCCTTCACTTTGTGGTATGGTACCTTGCAGTACAATTTCAGAGAGATCCATACACTTGAACACAAATTATTGTCTGGAAACTAGAAAAATGCTTATTTTTGGCCCCTTCTTCCTAAGCTTTTTGGTCAATTACCCCCAAACTCAATTCCAGCTTTCCCTTTGTGATATGGAACCTTGTAGTACAATTTCATAAAGATCCATACTCTTACACACAAATTATTGTCATGAAACTAGAAAAATGCTTATTTTTTGCCCCTTTTTGGCCCCTAATTCCTAAAATTTGGAGGCAATTACCCCCAAAATCAATCCCAGCATTCCCTTTGTGATATGGAACCTTGTGGTACAATGTCAGAGAGATCCATACACTAACACACAAGTTATTGTCATGAAACTAGAAAAATGCTTGTTTTTTGCCCCTTTTTGGCCCCTAATTCCTAAAATTTGGAGGCAATTACCCCCAAAATCAATCCCTGCATTCCCTTTGTGATATAGAACCTTGTGGTACAATGTCAGAGAGATCCATACACTTACACACAAGTTATGTCTGGAAGTTACAAAAATGCTTATTTTTGGCCCTTAATACCTTAACTGTTGGTACCATAACCCCCAAAATCAAGCCCCACCTTCTTTTTGTGGTATTGAACCTTATGGTAAAATTTCATTGAGATCCATTCACTTAAACTAAAGTTAGAGTGCGAAAACTAATGTGTCTTCGGACGACAACGACAACGTCATACCAATATACGACCACAAAAAATCTAGGGCAACACAAACTTCTTTTATATGCCTTTGTAAAGGGAAATTGAGAATCAAAGGGACATAACTATTTCCCTTCCCCTGGTGTGGTGATTCCTACATGTTGAAATGGATAATGCTTATTTTAAACTCAATCATTTGGACTGAAAATAGATATAACTAAAGAATTTCTTGAAATTAATGAGTTACATGTAATAGATAAATAAAAATCTTCAGAATTTATAGCATATCTATAAAATATCTTTTACCGTGAGTAAATAGGCTTTCCAGAACTACTTAGTATAAAAATATGCTTCTTTTCCTGTTGCCACTGTGACCCCTTTCCGTACTCATCTTCCTCAATTTCTTCGACAGGGGCAGATAACTCTTTCAGAACCACATCATTCAAAGCTGCAGATAAATCTTTTGGAATCTAATAAGAAAAAGTATGATATGTTTATTTAACCATATACATGTAGCTACATTTTGTACATGTATGTGTATAATAATATTCATCTGAATTTGAAAAAAAAAAAAATTGTTAAATTCAAAAACAAACATTCAAGGAAAATATTTGCACACAACTGTATTGGATTAAACCACATCATTTTTATTTTTTTTTACAATAACTTTTTCCACAAAAATATCATGATCATTTAAATATTCAGTTTATTTTTTGTATTAGAACATGATAACAATATTGTACCTATTTTAAGCTTGGCCTTTATAAAACTCGGATTTACTGTCTAACACACATACATGTATTATTTTAATAGCCTAGCTTTCGTACGCATTGCCAATTTTCAAAGGAATTTCATTGGTTTGGTAAGTCTGTTCAATTAAGTGAACACAAATATTCAAATAACATTAAATGAACAGACTTAAGAATGAACAATATTACCAAATTGCATTGCATAGTCCCTTTCAGGTAATTTTGGCAATGTTTTTTTTTTATAAATAGTGTAGGCGCTTCAAGTTCAAACCGTTTTTATATATATTTAAAAACATTGGGAAAATCAGCATGTTCAGTTACAAGGTAAAGTGGATAGTGCTTAATTGAGTGCTTTTGATAACATAGCAAAAGTGGTACAAGATTTAAGCTAGGATTAGAGGGCTTAAGTTACTTTTGCTTGATAACCTCATTGCATGCTCTGATCATTATTTCTTACAATAAATTAAAACACATTGTGATATATGTCTGAGAAATGGCTTTGAAGAGATGTAGAAAAGCTGTAATAACACCCTTTACTTATTACAGGCATATATTTTCTGTAATAACATAGGTGTACTAGACATGATTGGCAAACTATGAACTGTTATATCTTTCTAAAGTTTAGTATACATAAAGACAATAATAATACCAATAGAACTAATATACAATTTAACATAGTAAAGGATGGATATTGCCTCTTTGAAACATGTAACATTTATATGTTATAGTTTTTTTATATTTAAGCCCACAATAGCAACATGTATGCTATTTTTCTCTAATAACTTATTTAAGTTACACCCTTGACTCTATATAGGATAGAGAAAATTTGTATAAAAAATAAATGGGGAATGTGTCCTTTGGACACAGATGATGCCCCCGCTTGTCTATCATATAAAGTTATAAAGGGACATAACTGAAGAACGGTAAAAGTGACGCTACCAAAATTTGTACTTGATCTGAGTGTTGTGGTAATAACAATTGTGTATAAGTCTCATAACATTTGGTTGAGGCTAAATTAAGTAAGAGAACAGAAAAGAAAAATTCAGCAATTTTTCTATTTGTAAAAGGAATAACTCTAGAACAATAAGAGTGACACCCCAAAAAAACAAATTTGATCTGTATTTTGTGGTAATAAGCATTATGTATAAGTTTAATAGCATTTGGTTGAGGCAAACTTAAGTTAGAGAACGGAAATGAAAAATTCAGCAATTTTTCCATTTGTAAAGGGGCATAACTCTAGAACAAAAAAAGTGACACCCATCAAATTCAAACTTGATCTGTATTTTGTGGTAATAAGCATTGTGTACAAGTTTCATAACATTTGGTTGAGGCTAATATAAGTTAGAGAACTTGAAAAAAAAAATTCAGCAATTTTTCCGTTTGTAAAGGGGCATAGCTCAAGAACGGTTTAAATGACACCACCAAAATTCAAACTTTATCTGTATTTAGTGGTAATTAGCATTGTGTATAAGTTTCATAGCATTTGGTTGAGGCAAACTTAAGTTAGAGAACGGAAACAAAAATTCAGCAATTTTTCCATTTGTCATTTGTAACGGGGCATAACTCTAGAACAATAGAAGTGACACCCCTAAAATTCAAACTTGATCTGTATTTTGTGGTAATAAGCATTGTGTAAAAGTTTCATAACATTTGATTGAGTCAATTTAAAGTTAGAGAATGGAAACCAACTTTGAGATGTACGTACGGACGGACAAGGGTAAACCTTAATGCCCCCTCCGCTACGGCATGGGCATAATAAAGAATACAGGAAATGATGACCCAAGACCCCCTTCCGCTAACCCCATAATTTGTACCATAACTCAAAAGCCCTCTTAAACCTACAAGTCCTAAAGTCAGAAGTATGTAGACAGATCATGAGTAGGTATTTCAATACTAGGACAAATTATAATTGAGTTATCTTTCTTGTATTCGGGTGTGATCCTACTCTTCGGAAGAGTATACACCGTAGAATCACATTCAATTAATGGCCGAGGCTTGTTATTCTTTATTAAAAGTGAGGGCAGGCAAAGACAAAATACGTCTAAATTTAACATTTTTAACAGAATTCAAGTAAAACAATATGTTTGAATCAGTTCATTACGGTTTTTGTCTTTCTGTCAATCACGATTTTATCATGAAACTACTGAAAATGTGTGGTATGAACAATCTCATATGAAATGACGAAATGCAGACTGACCGATTCTATTTGTATGAATCAATTTTGATAATCATTAATGACCCATTGGATAAGCAGATTACTTGTAACAACAAATTATGACACATGTTGTATCCATTGATTGGCTTGGGGTCGTAAACTTGTCATTAACTTGTAACAAGGTAAAATTTTGCACAATTTTTTTTTTTTGCTTTTACAAATTTTAGTGATGAAATTGATCAGAAATACTTTCATCATTTTGACAATCGCTTCGTAAATGGCGAAAATGACGAGCACTAGTAGTATAATATAAGACTATGGACAACTTATCTTGCTACAAGAATTATGAAAAAGTTCATAATAAATTACAATATACATACATGTATTAAAATTGCTCTTTAGACAATTCCAACTGTACTTGCAGTTGCAGTATTTCTTTATTAATTTATATTATATATTTTAATATAGAGTTATCTTACTTGTGCAATAAGTTTGCCATATTGTTACACAAGAAACTTGCATTAGTATAGAAGAAATAAAAATTGTAGTTCTGAAGTTAAAATGTGATAGATTCATGTAAAAATATAATGAATGATACATATCCCTAAATAATAGCCATTTTATCACGGATAATTATCAGATAACTAATAACTTTCAGACACTATATAAATAGAGCGTCACTATCAATCCATCATTCTGCCTCTGAAGAAGGTCCATGAAGAACCTGAACCGGTCAAGCTTATAATGAAGCATCATGAGGCGCTGGTAATTAAGTGTTTTTTTTGGCATTACCTATACTTTTCAATAGCCATTTAATAATTTTTGTCTGTTTTGGACAATATACATTGATTATTTCATTACATTACAACTTTTTTTCCTGGTTTTAACTACATTTCCGTTTTTTTTTTGGCATTCAAGGTACCCGTATTTCACATCCCTGAGTGATGCAAAAGGTAACCACCTGAGTACGAGGGTAGGAAAGGGTACCCCTCATGACAAATGGCGGTAAAATTTTTTTTTAAAATAATGTGAATGATAAATATCTTACTGCATTTGACGTTTACAGGAGCTACAGAATGAGATTTGACGAATGATAAAAAAATTATGCTCATTTGACTCTATTGGTAGTGAAAAAGGGACGTTTGATGATAAAGTGCTTTCCTACCCTCAAGTATCATGATTACAATTTCACTTTTCTTATGATTCCAACATCAAAATGGATACAGATGTAATATCTACTGCAGTAGATTTTGGATTACAAAAGTTTTCATTTACTGAAATCAAAATTAACTAGAGAAAAGTTGTAGAAAGCTTTTTGTCAGGCAAAGACGTATTTTTCTGTTCTCCAACTGGAATTGGTAAATCACTAAATTTTGAAATAGCACCTTTTGTATTTAAATATTTCGCAAAATTTTCTAGAACACATTTTCTACAAGCAGTATCTGCATGTGTCTCTTCTGTAATATTTATTTCCAGATATTTTTCAATTAGAATACAGTATTCAGATTTGATGCTGCCATGAAATAATTTTCTTCTGTGTTCACTTTATTCAATTCTGTTTCCACAACTTACACAAAGAGTTTTTTTAGTTGTTGGAGTATATTTTATAAATCTAAAAATCTTTTTTGGAGTAGAACATTCTGCCATTAGAAACACAAGAAACTCTGACAATGATGCATACATGTGATGGACTGTGAAACTCAGATCAGGAGATTGGGAAATTTTGGTCAGGAGATTAGGACTGAGATCAGGAGGTTTTATATTGACATAAACTAAGTCGTAAATGTAACCATGTGATGTAAAAATTGTCTTTTAAAGTGTTTTTTTCTTCAACTTTCCATCCGAATGTAATGTTTTTAGTATCCTTGTACATGTAACTTTTTTTTATCTTTATTCAATCTAACATTCTTCTTTTTATGGAACATTCTTTAATTTATATATTTTTCATCTTTAATCTTTATTCCATAGAACATTAACTGCACATAGATCATTCTTTCTTTTTTTTTTTTTATCATTCATAGATCATTCTTTCAAGCTATATATAAATTTTAATTTAAGCCTTAAAAAGAAAGTATAGAACCCTCAAATAGTTTTCAAATTATTATTTTTCAAAATGTCTTAAGACTTTTTAAATCATTTAATTACCATTGTTTTATGATAATTTGTTCAATTTATATTTTATTTATATTCTTTAAACAATTTACATTACTAAAGGAAAATAACTTAAAATAGCATAAATCAAGGGAAGTAACCCAAAATTCATTTCAATTATTTTTAAATACACACAGTTTTTATTACACAACGGCAGTTAGCCTGAGGTAAAAATTGTTGATTACCAGTATGTTTGACACCCAAGCTGGCAAGTGAAGCCATATAATTATGTATGTTAATTGATTTACAGGTAAAATTTAACTTCAGGTAATGTCAGTTACACCGGATATGTTAAAAATGTTTGGCTGAAAATTTTCATTCATGAAATATTTCATAGTGGGTCTCATTGGGGTCTAAGCTTGACCCGGGATTGCCGATTTTTTGTAAGCGTGACACGTGAAAATGGGAAATGAAGTCTAGCGGGACACGGGAAATTACAAAAAAATTAGAATTGCTTACGTACATAGTGTAAGGGGGATACGGGAATCTGACAAAACAGTAAGCGGGATCCGGGATCAGAACCCCCAATGAGACCCCCTTCATACACTGGATTTTTTTTCTCTTCAACTGGGTCCGGGAAGAGACCCTGAAAACGGGATAATTGTACTCCCATCGGGAGATTCACATGTATGATGCTGTGATGTTTGATCATATGTATAAGTTCAGTGACCTTATCTTTCTAGTTAGTTATAAAATGAAAATAAACAGTATTTGAAAAATCCTGGAATATCAAGTTTCACTTTTCTACTGTTATCTGGAATTCTTATCAATAAATGTCAATCTTAATTACTCTAAGATTAAGAGTTTGGTCAAGCCTCAGACAAACTTTACAAAGTCCCTTCCTCTGCAGATGTCACTATAATGGTAATCTCTTAGTTATACATTGTAGCAGTGAAATTGTTAAAGGGGCAACATTGAAAAAAAATAATAAGGAAGGGACATGTAGCAAGTCTAAGTCTGGGGGTAAAAATCTTAAAATCGTTCTGGACTTTATGGACTTGGAACCAACAGAGATTACATGTAGTTCTGACCATTTTAGTAGGCATTTATAAACATGTACATTTTTTAGACCTGTGGCTGTGCACAAATACGAATATTTCCTGACATGTGATAATGACCTCATTGTGATCTTCACTTGATTCTTCGCCAGTGGATGTGTCATTGTGTTCTGAAGAACTGTGTTCGTCCTGAGACCCAGAACGAACAATGGCGTGAATGACACCACTTGGATGGCTGTCATAATCTTCGTTGACCAGATCGTCGTAATTTATTTCCTCAAAGGTATCTGCTGCTACAAGAACTGCGTTCTTTATTTCTTCTGGTGCAGGTTCTACAAAATCGTCTTGGTCAGAAGCAGAAGCGGAGTCTGGATTTCGCACTGAAGGGGGCACCTGTTCCGCCTCTTTGCCCTCTGACTCGTCCATAGCCAGGGTTCATTATTGGAGATCACCGAAAATGACTTCCGGTTAAAATATTTTTGATGTTGCATGCTTTCTATAACACAGTTTCCAGTGTTTTCATAATATCTAATTTGTCATTTAAATTCGTGCGGATAGTTTATTGGTACAGTCATATCTAGCCTCAATCTATTTTTTAAAAGAATGGCATATCATTATTTTAAAATATGAGGGAAACAAATATTAGCTACACAAAAAGCTTGTCTGACTTCGGCAGTTGCATGACGTTATAGCAAAAGCATTGGTTCCTATATGACAGACTTAGAAGACTACAGTTAAGGTTGGCTTAGAGTAGAGTGTGGGCTAGACAGTGACTGTAATTAACATTTAATAATTAATCATCAAATCAATTTAAAACAATATTTCATTTAAAAATTCCCGAATTTTTATTTATGAAAATAAAAATATTTTGATATAAACATCTACAAAACATCTAAAAATTTATCATGTTTTTGAATAAAAAAAAGGGGTGCGAACGTGTAGGGTGCGAACGGACCTAGGGGGCGAACGTGTGGGGTGCGAACGTGTAGGGTGCGAACGTGTGTTGGGCGCGAACGGACCCGATACCGTGACTGTCTATTGGTATGCAAATTTAATACAATATATGAAATCATGTTAGATATGTCACAACAGTGCCAACCGGGATAACCATGTCTGAAATTCTAAGTTACTTTGAACATATTGTTAAACTATATTTATTGTTTCCAACAAGGATTTGTATAGTAAGTTTTACTATACAAATCCTTGTTTCCAATAAAAAGACTGCTACAAATTTTGGATCATGATTTTTTTCTGTCTGTATGTCTGTCTGTTTTAAAACACGAGTTGTTTCGAATATTGACAAGCTGACAATTGTTGGAAACAATAAAAATAGTTTTACAATATGTTCCTACATGTACATGTACTTATGCTGAGACTACTAGTCTCAGACTTATGCAATACTTATTAATCTTGAACACATCGGGGGTCGTATTGCTTATCATTTATAAACATTTCCGATATAATTTGTGTGTTTTGTCCTCGTCTCAATCAGATTTTGACTTATGATTATTAATTTTGTTGGTTCCACCCTTTTCTTGTCTTCTCATCTGCAGGTATAGGTTTGTACAGTGTTATATAACAATTACGAATCACATATGAGACGACAAACAACATTTCAACAACAAACTGAAAATATTAAAAAAATGGAAGAAAATAGCAAAAGGAAAAAAATAATGCACGTGCTGTCGACTTGTCGTGCTAAGCATACCCCAACTCGTAATTTAAAGTATTGGAAAACGGATAGTAGCTGTCCAACAGATCCAACAGGCGCAAACACGTTAATACGCATCACTTTTAAGATGCTGACCAAATTTAGAATACTTCTATTGAGTACTATTCAGTGAAAAAATGTTATGAAAAACTTCAAGTTCATCAACATATTGAAAAATTTAAAGCATCTGGAAACAGGAAGTTGGTGTCCGACATATTCAAATAGACTCATAGTGCTCATATGATACAACTCATCACTGTCAAGCTTATGACCTAATACAAAGTCATTCTGTAAAGTCTTACTTGAGAAAGTGTGACGAAAACTTAACTTTGATTCGGCAACATACTGAAAAAAAAATCAAAGTATCGGCAAACAGGAAATCCGTCTCCGACAAAAAAATCGGTCTCACACGTTAACACTTATCACTTGCCAACTGCTGACCAAATATAAAGTCATTCAGAATACCGAGAAAAGTGTGACGGAAATATTTATTGGACGAAGGGACGGATGTATAGTTGAACAGACTGACAAGGTGAATGCAATATAATAATATAGCCTTTTACGTTTACAGAAATAACACCAAATGCAAACTGATAGGTTTCAGGCAGAAACAATCATTTCCTCCGTTTACTTACAACTTACAACTGCCGTTAGCGCCATGTGTCGCATAGGGCGCGAATGGAAGCCTTCCATCTGAATCTGTCTGCTGCTTGTTGTTGTGCTTCTCCCCATGTCCTCCATCCAAATTCTGTTCTTTCCTTGTCTACCATTCGTCTCCAAGTTTCCTTTGGTCTTCCTACATTTCTCTTTCCTGGTGGTGTCCACGTCAAGGCGATTCGACAATCATTCCATGGGTCCATCCTCAGGATGTGACCTATCCAACTCCATCTCCTGGTCTTAATGGTGTTGGTGATGCTGCACATGTTGGCTCTTTGCAGCAGTTCTGTGTTGGAAATCATAGTTGGCCAAAATATCTTGAAGATTCTACGCAAGTTCCTGGTGTTAAAGGTGTTCAGTCTTTCTCCATCTCTCTTGCTTATCTTCCAACATTCTGCCCCATATAACAACACTGATATTACATTGCTTTTATAAATTTTCATTTTGGTGTTTCTACTGTATTGGTTTGATGTCCATATTTTTCCTCCGTTTATTAGACTGAAATACCAAAAATCGTAGTTGACGCACATTTTAACTTTCGAAACAAATAATGTGAAGTTTCTAAATTTGTGAATTTATCGCTACAATAAAGGGACATTATGCGAGATGAATTTGCTAATGTAAAACTTTGCACAACACTTTTATAACAAGCCTTCGTGTGTATGATTTTGAAAATCATATTGATTCCCACTGTATTGGAAATTATACTTTGATCTCTGGATATTCGTTTTTCGTGGTACCTGTATATGCATCACGAATTCGTGCTCTCTTCGTGCTAGTTCTCAACTATTTATATTTATATATACCGTTTACTCTATCAAATGATCAAATGACAAGCTATTCTTATTTTTTTGCAATAAAAATAACAGCCACGTACTTAGGATTAGGGGGGGGGGGGGGGTGGTAAAAAAATATATTGCCAGACAAAAGAAAGAAATCAATTACTACTAGTATTCTGAATAGTTCGTTAAAAACTGTTGATAAATAATCTGCTTTTCCGCAATAAAAATGTCATGAAAAAAAAAGAATAAACATACCCTCCCCTTTGATAAACACCTCGGGATGTGTTGTTGTACGACATGAAAAACCATAAAATATGCATTATCTATAACATACATACTAAAATTTAAAGAAGATTCATCAATTTAACTCACAGGCACTTGTCTCTGAATATCCCCCCTCCCTAGATACCTTAATATAACACGAGTTAAGTACCTTGTGTTATAATAAGGTATATAGGGGAAACAAATTCAGAGACAAGTGCCTCTGATTTAACTGTTAAAATATGAAACGTGTATAGTATCAGGTTAATAGTTTATGAGTACAAACTTATTTAAAATTTCTTCAATGCCTTTTTGTTTCTATTTGAGGAAGTGAAAATATTTTCACTAAAACTGAATCAGGAAATTGCGGTGGTGGGCGGACCACATATCATCTGTTAAATGAGCCATCAGTTCTGCTGTTAAAACTCTTCAACAGTCTAACATAAGTCAAGCATAAGATAGATTCGCCGTAATCCATAGATTACAACCGAGACAAGCTTAACATAATACGACTCACAGATATAGCAACAACGGACCGATACGATACGAAAGTTTTATTTTGATTCGGTTCACATAACAATACAAACATAAGCTCTTTAGAGCTTTTTACCGAATATAAGGTAACACAAACACAACATGCAGACAGGATATATAACAGCACAGTCATATCGAAATACATGCAAAGCACTTTTAAAATACATATCTAAAGCCAAAGCTGAAGCACAACTAAAAATTAAGCACAACTAAAATTAAGCACAAATAAAATATAGCACACATGCAAAAATTTAAGGCATAATAACATGTTAGAGCAACTTCTAAAATATGATAAAGCTTATCTACAAGCAGAACAACAACATTTTGAACCATTCCAAGACTGTATAAGGCTCTTAAATTGAGAAAAACTGTTTTCAGTCCTGAAATGGTCAGGTAGGCTGTTCCACAGAGTAGCAGCTACAAATTTAAAACTTTTCTTACCAAACTGTGTAGTTTTTACATGTGGTATATCCAGTATATTACTATATCTGAAAGAATATTTACAATCTTTTACATTTAATAAATCATGTAAACAGACAGGTGCTAATTTATTGACTATATTAAAAGTTTCAATTGCCATAGATCTTTGTCTTTTAATATGCAGTGAAGGCATCTTAGCCTTTTCAAGCAACTGTTGATATGAGCTTGAATGGTCTTCGTACACAAACCTTAGTGCTCTTTCTTGCACTTTTTCTAATTTTTTTGAATTTTTCTCGGTACAAAAATGCCATGCCAAAGGGCAGAAATTGAAGTTTGACAAAATAAATGTATGGAAAATAGTAAGCTTACTCAGCTTGTTCAGATAAGCTCCCAAACGTTTCAAAATATTTAGTTGTTGAGATGCCTTCCTGCATATGTTACCAATATGAATATCAAAATTTAGCTGATAATCTATGTCAATGCCAAGTAATTTGACAGTTGACTCACACGAAAGATCAGCACTTTGGATACGTATAGATGGATTTTTGTTATATGTCTTTTTCCCAACTGTTAAGACCTGAAATTTGTCGGGGTTTGCCTGCATTTTATTTATTTTGAACCACTCAATAAGTTTGAGTGATTCAGATTCCAAAGTAGAAATCAAAACATCATAATCAGGACTACAGTAAGATAAAGTATTGTCATCTGCATAATTATACAAAGTTCCATTTTTTATAAATAAGAATATATCATTGATAAAAACATTGAATAGTAGGGGGCCCAGGATAGAACCCTGGGGAACCCCCTTATGAATGTCAGCCCAACTGCTAAGAATACTATTTATTTTAATTTGTTGTTTCCTGTTTGTCAAATAAGATTTAAGTAGTGAAATAGAATGAACAGAGACACCATATGCTGATAATTTATCAAGCAGAATTTCATGTGGTAGGCAATCAAAAGCCTTTGAAAGGTCCATTAAAACAGCAGCTATATACTGGTTTTTATCTAATGCTGCACGCCAATCTTCTAGCAGTCGTAACAGTGTGGTCTGACACCCATGGCCACGTCTAAAAGCACACAGATAGGGATGAAAAATAATTTCAAAAAAATC